AATTGCCAAAATTACACCAATTATCAGGGCAGAAATCTGTAAAATCACACAACATGGTTTGATTTTCTTCTTTTTGATGATCCATGAACTTGTTGTTCATGTGTGATGTGCAGTCCCATGAAGAAAAACATTTGCCAAAAATGTACCGTTTGCCTTTAAAAACAAAAATAAATCCACACATGAAAACTATAAGTAGGAAAGTATATTTAATATGTAGTGTCACCACCTTTTCCAGCATTGGTAACACCTGTGGACACTTGGAAAAGTTAGATTTTATTGGATTTTTACCTTATAAATACTTTTACCTTATAAATACTAAGGAATGTGACTTTCATTTCCTCTGTTAAAAATAATTTCAGGCATTAAAATTGCATCATAATGCACAGAAGACATAAGTTCTTTCTACTTCTAGCCATGACTAGAAAAAAATTGAGCCCACAATGAGCAAAGTTGAGCATCAAAATAAAAAACGCCCAGAAACTTCTTGGGTTCAGAGGTTAGATTATCCTGTCGTATCAGCTTGTGAGTTATATCTGAAACCTATTTTTCTTTCTCTCTGTGCTCAGCACCTTGGAAACCACCTTCGACGGCAGCGTCACCACAGACATCAGCAGCGGTGGTGGGACCGCCGGCGGTGGCAGCAGCAGCAACAACAGCGGAGGCGGCCGCAGCATCCTCAGCATCACCTCTGCCCGCCCATCGCTGTCGTCATGGCGACTGGGCCAGTCCAGCCCTCGTCTGCAGGCGGGCGACGCCCCCTCGTTGGGCAACGGCTACGCTGGCCGGGTGGTCGGCGGCCAGGGAGGGCGCTACCTGTACCCAGGGCACCTCCGGAGGCAGCTGGCGGGCCGGGGAGGAGCCCTGTGCAGCGTGGAGCTCGGAGACAGAGCCGGGGAGGACATGGACCTGGACGGCATCTCCATGGAGGTGACGGGATACATGAGCGACGGAGACGTGCTGAGCAAGAACGCCGTGCGCACTGATGACGTCACCAGCGGGTAAGTGGATCACGCTTGCAGAGATTTTTTTAATTCAAGTTTTATTAAACTGGAAACAGGCAACGGATGAATCGCAGAGTCGCTTGACAGAGAAAAGGTTTTGTTCCTTTATTAAAGAGAAGAACTTGAACTGGTTTCCAGCTTGTCCAATCGAGGAATTTGCAGCATTTCACTGCTTTGTTATTGTAACTAGATGGACTTTTGCTTTTGGGTTGTTGAGCAGGTGAGCAGAGCCATGTTGTTGCTCGGAAAACGTGATATCCAAGCTGGTCGGACCTGTGAATAAGTCTTTCTTATTTACTGGGTACTTTTTGCCTCTTGTGACAGTTTTACTCGTTGTGGATTCATTCTTCTCTACAACATAAAGTCCTGCACCTCTGCGGAAACAGCACAACCAAGTAGAGAGAACTCATAAATCATAGAACAAGAAACAAACATTCTTCCAAGTGTGCATAGATGTTACGAAATCTCTTATCGTCTCTGTGTTCCTGGTTGTCCTATTTGAGGATTTGCAGCTTTTCTTGGTTTTATCATTGTCAATAGGGCACTTTGTTGTGTTTTTTTGTTGTTATTTGGACAAAATATGCAATTTGAAGATATCATCTCAGGCTTTAGAAACCATTTTTCTTATGTTCTAAAATAATTAATGTTGTTTAGATTCTCTTCGTACCACCAAAACAGTCCTGACCAATCTGAGAATTAATACAGAACCTCTCGGGGTGTTCTGTGGTGTCTTCCTCTGCGGATCAGGTTTTCTTCGACACATCTTGCTGAGCCTCGATCCGATTTGAATCTGGGGACTTTGGAGGCTGGATTTACACTTTGAGCTCTTTGTCGTGTTCCCTGAGCTGTTTCTGGCAGTTTTTGCAATGGTGCATTTTCGTCAGGATTGCCGTTGCAGTGCTGTGCTTAGCCTGCAGAAATATGTTTAGGTGGATGTTAAGTGTCAGAGTTACATCCACAAGAATGCAGGAACCAAAGTTTCCCTTCAAGACATCACCTGCATTTAACTCCAGCTGCTGAGTTGATCCTCCGTGTCCGAATAATCCACTTAACATGACTTGATCCTGTAATCAGACTCACCAGAAGAGGGCAGTAGTGTTCCTCGGTCATACGCCCGTGATCTAACCATCATATTACATCCCACAGTTTACATCCGTAGCATAAGCAACACTTATCCCGTGTAGTGCAGATCCCACAAGTATCCCATCTCTCTGTGCCTGCAGATGCAGTAATGCTGATACCCTGATAACCTGTTTATTTGCTCCCTCGAAGCCAGTGTCCATGTTGCAACAAGCCCCCTGCATACCTTGGCTGTAACACTGTGCAATTTAAAGCTCTGCTGTCATCATTATTATCAGATGGAGCTGTGAAAGGCGCCAAGTTACCTTCAGATGGCATCGAAAAAGTCAGATGCAGAAAGAGCCGGGTCTTGTAATAGAGCTGCTTCAGCGATTAGATCGATAGAGAAGATAAACAGCGAATGTAGATGATGCTCCGTGAGATCAGTGAACGTGATAAAAAACAAAACACATCTCTTATAAACGTTTGGTCTGATTTGGGCTGATTCAGAAGCCCTGAGGCAGATAAAAAAGCGAGGGGCTAAGTGCTCTTGAAGTACTTGATATGCATGAATCAGACAAAAGGCCGGCCGCAGACACACCTGGGCAGGTGAGTGATGTGAGCAGGTGAGCGGAGGCATTTTCTCGCTCGGAAAACTTGATATCTAGGCTGGTAGGACCTGTGAGGCACAATGTAATCAACTAAAAGTTTTATTGGTTAACTAATCTCAGAGATTTTTTTTACGATATGGCATTGGGCTGCCATTTAAGATGTTTCTTCTGTTCTTGTTGATACATTGATGAGTTTTTATCTGAGCTCGAGGCAGTTTCTGGGGTATGTTTTTGCTGATGTTGCATTATTCACTCACTGTGGGTTCATGTTTCACTGCGATATAAAGTCCTGCACCTCTATGGAAACAGAACAACCATGACTAGGAGAGAACTCAGAAAGGGCTTTAGTGCAGTATGACACAGTTTTGATGTCATAAATTATATTTAATTGACAAAACCTGAAATCAACATCCATCCGTCCATCCATTATCTATACACCTTAATCCTCACTAGGGTCGTGGGGGGCTGGAGTCTATCCCAGCTGACTCAGGGTGAAGGCAGGTTCAGCTGGACAGGTAACCAGTCTATCACAGGGCTACACTTAGAGACAGACAACCAAGCACACTCACATTCACACCTACGGACAATTTAGAATCACCAATTAACCTCAACATGTTTCTGGACTGTGGGAGGAAGCCAGAGAACCCGGAGAGAACCCACGCTGATTCCGGGTGTCCTCAGCGGGACACAAACCGGCGACCTTCTTGCTGCGAGTCAATGGTGCTAACCACCTGGAATCAACATGTGAATCATTTTTCCATATCCATATGTTTCTTCTACCTGCTCTGTGTGAACACAGCCTGCAGTTCAGACAAAAAGTTCCTGAATTTTTGCTACATAACTGTTGGTCACAGCTGTGTCACTAGTGGTTTTATTGTTGCACTGAGCAGCGCCAAATTTTTATTTTTTTGAAGAGTTAAATTTGTGCAAATTGTTTATTTTTGACAAATTTTTAATTACGTCATAGAATAAGGTGATTTTGATGAAATGTCATGATTTTTTTTCAGCTTAGATTTGTTGAACTTTTAGATAGAATAGTGCATCACACGTAATTAGTTTTTTTTTTTAAAGCATCACAAAGTTGTACATCCTGCGATTCTTTTCATTTTTACACGTTTTCGCTTTCATAAATGGTTTCATTTCGGTGATTTTTTAAGAAGACAACATGTGATTCAAACCCACCTGCGAGTTTTGGGGTTCAGAAGGTTAATTATTTACATGACTCTGGTATAAAGACAAGAAAATCACAATATTTTAAAAGCTAGAACCTATTAATGTTTTGCATTTTTGCCTTAATGATTGACTTTAACAACATTTCAGATGATTTCTTTCATTTCCACACTACAATAAACTGAACCGTTTTTACGACACACAATAAAGAGGTTGTGTCGAGCTGCTGTTTTAACGTTAAACGCTCCGTGTGTGTGACACATGAAGAACATGCTCTGTGGGTGCTTTCAGCAGTTAAAACCCAGGGGATGAAGTGATGGATGAGTGGCGAAATGAGCTTTTATTCAAATGGAGGCATGTTGACTAGATTATGTTCTTTGTGCAGGGGAGGGGGTGGGAAGTGCAGCAGCGTAACATGTGTGTGTGAGGAGCTGTGTGTGGGTACAGGCATGTGGGTGGAGTCGCCCTGTGGGTTAACCATTTAAAGCAGACACAGACGGATGACCTCCCCCTGCTCTCCACATCCTCAGGCTCTTGTCGAGGTTAAGCTCTATCACAAGCATGTTAGCATCCACCAAATAACTGGTTCTTCCACACAGAGGTGGGATGTTTACCCAGAGAGGAGGAGCTGGCATTTGGATTACGGCAGTAAACTCTCGCAGTTCAACTCTTTGTAACCTCTTAAATGCCACTTAAAGGGTCAATTCACATATGTTAGCAAAAGAGGCTTATTTTATTCACCCCTTAGCTCCAGCGGTATCTGGGTTTTGTGACGTTAACTGTCAGTAAGCATTTGGCTTCAGACGCAGTGTAATAAAAATAATGTCTGGACCTTGGATTAGAAAAAGTGTTACTAAAAATAATCCACAGATCCTTTGGTAAAAAATAAAAAAATAAAATCCTAGTTAATCTCATGAGTTTTTGATGCAACAAATTTTATTCGGTTCACCTTAGAAATTAATCATCCACATACAACTAAACATTTTAGGGGGGTTTTGCATGAAATTACCCTTTAAAGTTGAAAATCCAACAATATCTTCAAGTTTTAACAGCATTTCAAACTGATAAATGTAGTTATTTTGGCAATTTTTAAAAAAGATAACACACCTTTTAAACCTGCTGGTGGTGAATCAGAACTGTTTTAGAAAATAATACATTAGATGAGCTTGAAATTTAACTGAAAGTTTAAATTTCATCAGCATAGAAATGACCCCGTAACTCACAGAACAATAGAAAATGACAGTAAATTCTTCTACAAAGTTCTTGTGTTGTTGTTGTTGTTGTTGTTGTTTTTGGATTGGTTTTTGACAGTTAATATAATTTATCAAGAAAAAATGCAATTTTTTTTAGCTTTTTGAATGAGAGAGATTTCTGCTTTTCTGCTTTTTTTGTGTAAATTGTAGGCTGGATATCTCAGGGAAATTCTGATGCAAAATATTTCTGATGTTTTACAGAAAAAAAATGTAGAACTAATCTATTAAGATGTGAAATAATCAAAACAAGCTAACTGAAGCTCTAGATGTCTCTAAGCAGTCTGTACTCCAAACTGAGATGACCAGATCAGCATATCTTCATTTATTCAGCTTCATTTATTCAGTTTTGTTGCCTGTGCAGCAGACAACATAACCGAGACACTTTTAGTATCTGCAGCGGTTTCCTTCCATCTCCAACCCCCTCCTCTCTTTCTCCTTTCGGTTTCTGTGGCCCGTGGAGACGAAGGCACCCGCCTCCTTGGCTCGGGGGCATGTTGCCTGATCTACTCCTCTGCCCTTCCTCCCTCCCTCCTTCCCTCGCCTCCCCTCCCATCCCTCCTCCACCTTTCCTCAGACAGACCCAACCGCCAGCCAGGAGAGAAAAAGCATGTGGAGCTGAGGAGAGAGGCTGCATACCAGCACTGAGCTCTCACTCTCAGGTCGCACATGGACACTTAACCTATCCATGGAGTCTCGACACTGATATTGCATATCTGATATCGCCATGATCAAACACGCTTCCACCTGCTGATAGTACTCACAAGGCAGCGGATCTCACACACCGGCTCAGACCTGATAACAGCCAGTAGCCTGACGGTTGAAAACGGACTCACTGGAGATTGTTATCAGCGGGGACTCACCTGGACTTGTTTGGTTTGTCTTGGACTAACTGTGTGACCATGTTTGAGGCAGACAGGTACGTCTGAGGCTCTGCAGGAGACTGTTTGTTTTTCTTCCCAGAGCATGACATTAACTGAATTTCCTGCTGTCCACACCACAGTGCATGCATTGTTTGCAAGTCCGATAGCTCCGCCGTTTCATTTACTCATGAACTTTTGCTTCTGTTAGTTGCACGGCTGTGTAATCTCCACCCGGCTGCTCGCTGCTCTCTGCCCGTAAACTGTCTTGTTTGGACACGTTTCTGCTGCCGCAGAAGGTTACAGGTTAACAGGCAGCAGAACCAAGAGGACACGAGCTCAGTTACTTATTAGTGTGAAGAAGTAATGTCTTAGTCCGGATTGTGTGTGTGTGCCTGGATGGTCATCTTCAAGGTGACTTTGCTTTGTGATGATGGATGAATCCTCTCCAGAGCAGCTAAACCCCCTCCATGTGGACCCTCTGTCAGGAAAGGCTCCCAGCATTTGTCAACTGTCCTCACATTCTGTTGTTTTTCTTGTCCCTCAACGAGGCTCATATCAGCGGCATAAGATCTGTTTTTAGTGCCTTATCTGTCTGATTGATTATGTGATTCCTAAAAAAAGAATCAGTGTGACTTTGTCTGATATTTAGTGACACATGAGTCATTTGGTTAAACCTTATGAACTCAAAGCAGTATTTTTTTGTTGCTTTTTCACTCACTGTGCCTTCATTTTGCACAATATAAAGTCCTGCACCTCTACAGAAACAGCACAACCATGGCTAGAAGTGGTGAGAATTCAAAACTCTCAAACTTTTAAGGCCATAAATCACAAAAAAGAAAAAACAAAATTTGAGAATTTTGAATATTTATTTTACACAATTTTTTAAAACCTGGAATCAACACATTTTTCCATTTGCCCATCGTTGTTACCATTACAGGAATAATGTTGACTCCAATACTGCAGATTATTTGCTACTTCAATTTGTTTCCACACTTGTCGCCTCTCTGTTTTGTGTAAACACAGCCTGCAGTGCAGCCCAGTTCCGCTGAAATGTCTCAGAATTTTTGTCACAAGGCTGTTGTTTGGAGCTGAGTCACTAATGGCTTTACGGTTGTGCCAAAGAATGTGGAATTTTTTGTCTTTTTACAAAATCTAGTTAATACAAATGATTTATTTTTAACAAATTTTTCAAAGCGACATGTAGAACACAATGATTTTGATGAAACAGCTTGACTTTCGACTTAGATTAAATTAATTTTACAGAAAAAATAATAACTCACACATGATTATTTCAAAAACTGACAGGAAATTGAGAATCTAATGATTTTTTCTGTTTTTACAGTTTGTGAATCAGATAAATGATGTCATTTTGATGATTTTTTGTTTATTTTTTTTAGGACAAGCTGCCTTTTAAACCCACTGCAAGGTTTTTGGGTTTACAATGTTAATTTTAGCTCATTTATTTCCATCATGTACCACAAAACATGTCCAAATACTTAAAATAACACAATAGAAACACAAATGATTTATAAATAAGATTTCATAAAGTTCGCTGAGAGGACCAAAGTTTTAGCTCAGCTCAGGTCCAAACTGTTTTTTCTTCACAACGTTTGTGGAGACAAAATGCTGAATTTCCAGGTTTGCTGCTAAAACACACTCGTATTTACATCTCATTGGATCCGGCCAACAGAATCAGTTTGACTGCACAAAGAGGCTCTGTCTGTAGGAAACACTGCGCTGTGTGTGTGTGTGTACTGTACATACATTCAGGTATAACTGTGTGTTTGTGTGTGTGTGCAGGGTTCCCTCTCGCTCAGATCGACACACAGATAACACAGGAGGCGATTTAGTGGTCGGCTTATTTTTCTACTCACTTAACTGCAGAAACAGAATCATCGCAGTCGCCGTTCCAACGGTCCGGCCTCGGCTTTAAAACAGCAAACGTTTCATTAGACTACACCCGAGTTAAAGGCGTCAATATTTAGCTCCATTAGGAGTCTCCTCCACAGGTAAACATTTGGGCGATTCGCTCTGTGTTGTTTTAGTTCCAGTGGGAATGTTTGTGTTCAGCATCAGCTTCAGACTGTAACTGCTGCAAACTGTCAGCCTCAGACTTCAACATGCCATAAATCACCTCCCTTTAAATGTAATTTTCCGTCATGAAGCGAAGGGAATGCCCTACTTAGCCTGCACTTACATTCGCAGAACATTTTTAGCTTTCTCTTAATCTTGGGTTACTCCGTCAATCATAACGTGCCGTTCCGATGGCCCCCGGTGTCTGTGATGAATCGCAATATGCTTCCTGCAGCAGCGAAGAACAGCCTCATCCTCTGTGCTCCTTCTAAAGACCGCTGTTGTTTACCACCGCTGGCCACATGAGAGAAATGCGTCTTTGTTAAGTTGGAGAGTTTGCTGTCTTCAGTGTTTGTGTGGGAACCGTTTAACCCTGAATGATGGGAGCTTAGCCTCAGCCGGAAAACTAGATGGATGTGGGCTCCTCCTGCTCCATGGAACACACACAATATATAAGAAAAGCAGCTCTGGGAAAACAAGAAGAAACTCCAGTGTGTGTCTTTAAACAAAGTCCTGCACTCCAGATCATCCTCTCTGAGATCTTTTATTGCGTGTCTTGGAGCTGCTGCATGGTGCCTGTGTCTCATAGGATTTGTTGTGTTTTTGCAGCTACATGACTGACGGAGGTTTGGGTCTGTACACGCGCCGCCTGAACCGCCTCCCCGACAGCATGGCCGCCGTGCGAGAGACACTGCATCGGAATACGTCTTCTGGACAGGGAGATGCTGACAGGTGAGTCTGAAACATCTGAGAATTCTACCTGTGTTTGCTGAATGATTCATTTCAGGAGTGATTCTGAGGAATTTAAAGTTCCCAAAAGGCCTTTACGTGCCTCACATTGAACATATTGACCTGAATATATTGGAGTTGGGTATATAAATATACTTTTCAGATGTATTTCTGGCCTGTTTCCAGTCGAAAATACATGTTTTTCTTAAACAATCATACGCAGGTGATAGGAGTGTATTAAAGCTTTACTGTTGTTCTGGGGCTCTGGAATAAACTCCTGGGTCGTCTTAAGTTCTGGCATGCATTAAACACTCGTGAATAACATTGTGAAATTTCTTGTCCTGGGGGTTTAACACGTTGTGTTTGCACACGTAGGTGGGATAATGTTCTGGAGGCGTACAGCACACATACAACACAATCCCTGGAGCAGCTGTTGAGCATTGATTAACCAGTTTGTGTTCCTTTAAAAGCACTTGAACTGGATGGCTGGAAAGCAAATGGGAAAATCGAGGCTGCATTCCAAATCGCAACACTTTTTCATTTTTATTTTAAGTGCACACTGGAGCCGCGCTCACGGAGTGCGTACTGCGTCATGCAGCGTACGACTGGGACGTATTACTGGTTCATGATGTTGTCTGTAGTGCAAAATGAGCTGTCATCTGTCTGTGCAACACTTGTTCATACTCATGTGAGACACTGTGATGTTACTGTGCAGAGGATTGTGGATCAGGAAGGCCAGAAAAGCTGGCTCACAAACTGCCAGATGTTGTAGGACACCCTGGTATTACTGGGATACTACATCTGACACACTATGTGTTTGCACATGCTAAGGCTATGTTCCAATATCCAACTATGAAGTGCACGAGAGAAGATTCGGTGTGTCCTAATGCACAATGAATGCATGAAAACATCTATAAAACTACAAATTTACATTTGATTCATGTTTTGAGACCTCAGCTGACTCCCTTTGCTCTGACTTCCACGTGACGCATTACAACCGAGCTTCGTGAAGAACCACAGCGCTGATGCACAAACCGATCCTGAGCACGTATTGCTCTTATATCAGGATGTACTGGCCACAACACGCAGTAAAATAAGAAGATCGACTGAGTATTTGTGGGTCTGTGGCACTTTCTGGGGCATCTCGTTACAGCTTGAGTGATTTGCCGAGACGCTGCGGTCTTTGTCCTGTCACAGAGCTGCAGAAGGATTTGGTTGCTGGCTAGTTGACAGACGGAAATGGATGAAGGCTGAGCGGAGCCCCGCCGTGGAGCGAGAGAGTGATGGGGGGTGGATAGGAAGAGAAAGAGAGCAGAAGGGGGGAGGGAATGAGCTTTATATGAAGATGGACTGCAGTGTGGAGGAATGAAAGAAGGCCGACTGTATTAAATTGATGGACTCTTTAATTCTTATCCAGCTATTATCAACTCGTGATCAAATATTTAAGAGAAAAATGCTCATTTCTCATGTTTAAGAACTAATTTTTGCAATTAATTTGAAGCTTACACTGATTTTTTTTACACAGACATACTGAAAAAAATAACATCCCGCAAAAAAACGTGAAAATCTGGCAGCAAGGGTACCAGAAAAATATATTAATAAACAGCAGGATTATGTAAAGTTCAAAAAAAGTTTACAAATAAATAAATAAATAAAAATATCTGTAAAATAATTATATTTTTAGGTAACTTTGGTACGTTAATTTCATTGGTCGCACATTGTAAAAGAATGAAATGCTATTTATTTAAAAAAGAAAAAAAACTTTTGATATTCTGCATTATTTCCCATTTTTACAATCAACATGTAAATTAATATATTGTTTTTCTAATTTTACTTGATCTTAACTGTAATTAAACAAAACAGAGGAACTAACAGTTCAAACAATATTTACCATGTTTAAATCTTTAATAAATGCAATTTTGTTTCAAATTATGGTAAAAACCTGTAAAATAATGATATTTTTTGCTGATTTTACAAATAAAATGGTGTAATTTTACACTGAAACATTGCAAAAGAACAAATTACCATTTGAAATAATGTTAATTAAAGCCTTTGCCTGGTTTTTATGGTTGACATAAATAAATAAAAAAGTTATTTTCTGTGAAATCTGTAAAATATCAGTACATTTTTATAGACACTCCAGTTAAAAGCTGTTGAAAAAGGTTCATTTTTTTGCAGTGCAGACTTGCTGCAGTAGTCCTGAGCGCTGCGAGCCTCCTCTATCCGTAAATCCTCAGGTGTGGCTAATTTCCTGTCTTCCAGACTTTTGACCTCTGGCCTCTCGCTGCCTTTTTTCCCTGCAAACACACTCAGTCCTTCGCATGAAACTCCCGCAACCTTCAGATGGAGCTTAACACAAACTGTCCTCCTCCTCACCTTTCATCTCTCCCCTCTCCTCCATGCCTCCTCTCAACCCTTACTTCTTCCCTCACAGTTGTTTTGATTAGAGACTGTAGCGAGCAGGAGAAACTGGAAAGCAATTAAATGATAAAAGTCGGGGGATTTCTCCTTTTTTTTTGGGGCCGTTCAATTTTGCACTTTCATGTTTCTCCTTGTGAGGTTTAATTGACCAAGTAGGCAGATGTTATGTTTCTCCAAAAGCGTCTTCTTCTCTCATGATCTTCAGACGGCTTAATTTTCGGTTTTGTAAGATTAGAGAGAAGAGGAGAGAGTTTTAGAGCGAGGAGGGGATGAGGTGACTCCCCTCCTCCCGACCACACCTCCTCACCCCTGAAGGAATGTCTGATAAATCTGCTTACTGCTTTTACTTTGGGATTAATTAGCAGAGTTGGGGAAGCGGCAGATAAAATACATTAGCATAATAAATAGAAAACCAGTGGAGCTGGAGGGTAAAGGAGGGTGTTTGGCTTCTTTAATTCATGACACTGGTGCAGCTTGTGCAGGTGGAGGGAACATGTGTTTCCAAGACATTTTTATTTGTGAGTGCCACCAGTCTGAGCTCAGAGGTGTGTGTGCTCCATATTTGCTTACTGGGTGTGCGACCTGTCTATAAACCTGTGACAGTTTAAATGCTTTTTTTTTTTTTTTGCATCCTCTGGGGAAGCGGGAGGGGTTGGGGGTAGGTGTCGGGTGTTACCGAGGCACCGGGGCAAAAAAACCTTGTGACCCCTGGACGAGAAGGTCAGGAGCTTCAAAGGGTCGAGGTTCACAGTTAAGAGCGTCCCAAAAACTTTTAAGCCTTCGTGCTAAAAACCCTCCGGATCAGACCTGAACTAATGAGGAGTGAAGGACGCAGCTACAACACACAGCGGTGAATAGCCTGGTTAGATCACAGGATGCCAGACACTGTAAAAATAAAATGCAATAAAATCCAGTAAAATAACTGTGAAAATCTGGCAGCAAGGGTGCCGGAAAATATATATTAAAAACAGTGGAATACTGTGACATTCAAAAACTGTAAAAAACAGTGAAGGTAATGGTGAATATCTGTTAACAAAAAAAAAAAAAGACGTTAGCAAATGTAGATACAGCCAAACATTGTCTTTTTATAGTAACAAGAACAAATTAGTATTTGTAAAAAAAATAATGCTTTTAACTTTTTGATGTGGACATTTTTTTTTTACAGCTTTAGAGAGTTTTTTTTTTTATATTAACATGTAAGTTAATACTTTTTTTGTGATTTTACAAGATATTATCAGTATCGTAACAAAACAGATAAAACACGTAAAATAGTGGTAAACTGTTGAAAACGAATTGCACTTGGTAGCTGTTAAGCCTAAACTTTTTTTTTTGTTTAAAAAAATAAAATAATAAAAATAAATAAATAATCAAATCTTAAAAAATTAAAATAAGGAAATTTTATGGTCAAATGTTGGAATTTTTAAAAAAAATTGTTTTACAGTTACCATGTAAATTAATACTTTTTACTGTGATTAATTTAATAAAGTAGGGAGAAACTGTAAAATTACAGTTTAAACTGTATTATTTACCATTTTTAAATCCTTTATTTTCACATTTTTTCTTCTAAATATACCCGAATTTTGTTGTTGATTTAAACACAGAAAAAAATTATTACATTTTGTAGTCAGATCATGTAAAAGAACACGTTTTTCATTGTAGAAACACGTAAAATAATAAGTTTCTTCAGAGATTTTGTTGGATATCTTCGATTTATCAGAACAGGGAAACATCCATAAAACAACAGTAATCAGTTTAACAAAGTGAGGAAAAAGTACATTTTTTACAGTGCAGATATTCTATTATCAGGTCTATCAGTGACTAATGTCCCCGTTGATCGTGCAAAAAGTGCTTCCACCGACTGTCACATGTATGTAAAGTAGCTTGCGTGGAAGCAACATGAGTCATGGGCCGACCGGACCTGCGAGGCCGAGTACACGCAGAGACAATAGAGACCAGAAACTCGGTGTGTGTGATCATGCTTATCCCTGTCATTTATCTCTGTGGCTGCAGCAGGAGGAAGCAATCTATAACGGTCCGTCCTCTGGCTTGAATCCTCTTTGTTAAAGCAGACAAAGGACTCGTCTTTGTGGTGTGAAGCTGCTGCAGCGCTGAGTGTCAGAGCGAACCCCCCTCCGCCTCCTTCCTCCTCCTCGCACAGGCGTTGGAGATATCATTTCTCTTTCACAAATGAGGACGTGACACAAAGAAGAAACAAGGGAGCACCACACAAATAACTCATTTGTGGAACGATAGCTGCTGCGTTCACATGAATCAGTATAATGAGGGCGCTTAAAGGATCCCGCTAATGTTTCAGGATTAGCATTTCTGTGAGGGATCCGTCCCTCGCCTACATTTGTCTTGTTGGTGTCTGCACAAAGCGTTCTGAGAAAAGACAATGCCAGATAATCCACCGCACAAAGCAGAAAGTCTTCATTTTGTTTTGGCAGCATGCAAAGCTCAAAAGACATTTAAAAAAAAGATGCATGTTGTTTGTTTGTTTGCGCCGAGTTGATTTAAGAATGATGCACAAAGAACTCGATCAAATGATGTCAGCGCTTAAAAAAACTGCAATTTGTGGGTGA